AATGGTAACAATGTTTTTAATGGTTATCAAACACATTTGAAAACAAAATTTTAAAATAAAAGCGCTTTTAAATGATTTAATAGCAATCCCAAACGCTCACCTACCATTATGTGAGTTTATTGTAGATTATCTTCTAATTTGCGGTTCTACTGAGCTAAAATTGATAATAGTAACAATGCTTTTAATGGTTACCAAACACTTTTAAAAGCAAAATTTTAAAATAAAAACGCTTTTAAATAGTCCAATGGCAAGTGTTTATGTGAGTTGATTTTAGATCATCCTCTAATTTGCGCGGTGAATCTGAATCCAACTTGATTTTTCGCAAAGTTCAGATGAGTCCTATTTTAAGTCCTCTCATATATATATGTTTCTTTTTTCCTGGCAAACTAAGGGACAGAGGGGACTCGATCACGGACTCACCCATTCGAGAAGTTGGAAACTCTACCAACTAGACTACTAGATAATGTTTTTGAAAGCCTTGTGTTATGGATACCTCTTCATAATTATTAATGATGAGTTTGAAAAAAGAAAATTACACGTGGTGGCTTCTTCGAATTTTCTTTTTTCAAAAAAAAAAAAAAAAAAAAAAAAAATCAAGTGATTTCAAGCCTTGTGTTATGGTATTCTTGTCATCACGCACTCATAACGTCTTAGTTTTCATTCCTTTGAATACCCCAAGACTTAGCAATGGAGATTAATATATAATTCTAAATATTTTTTTATAAACACCATTTTAAGAAAATGTTTGAGGATGGGGTTAATAAGACCACCACTTTTGTTAGCATACGGGTTATGTGATTGATCAAATTGGATAGTAGAAGGGGGTTTAATAATTTTAACCCTAACATCTTGGTCATTAAGGGATTAAAAGGGCATTTTGATCATATATCATTTAAAAGGTTGGCATTCAATTACTTTTTAACAGCAAACAAACGGAAAGGGGGTGACATGATGGATTTTTAAAAAGTAATGAAGTTTTTAGATAGTTTTTCTAGTATGGGGTTACGAGGCTCTTTTGGAATGGTACATGGGAGTTTCATAATTTTAACCCTTTTAAAAATATATAGATATAGATGCAGATATATCATCTTTAAATTCTCTATTAAATATATTTTTAAATATCAAATTATGATTTAAAAACTTAAATAAATAATGTTTAGAAATAGAAAAAGCACCTTACACTTTATAGGTATATATTTTGCAATAATGCCCTTTAATAAAATGTTACTATATTTACTAATAACATAATTTTATATAAGAATGCATGGAAATGTCTTTATAAAAAATGAAATGTCTTTATAAGAAATGACAAATATATGTGATGAAAAATACTTACCCAAAATATAATCTATACTTAAAAGCATAATTTTAAAAGCTAAAAAAATTTAGCTTCATCCAAAGTTTCTACTAAGGTAAAATTGGTAATGTAACAATATTTTTAATGGTTATCAAACACATTTGAAAACAAAATTTTAAAATAAAAGCGCTTTTAAATGATTTAATAGCAATCCCAAACGCTCACCTACCATTATGTGAGTTTATTGTAGATTATCTTCTAATTTGCGGTTCTACTGAGCTAAAATTGATAATAGTAACAATGCTTTTAATGGTTACCAAACACTTTTAAAAGCAAAATTTTAAAATAAAAACGCTTTTAAATAGTCCAATGGCAAATGTTTATGTGAGTTGATTTTAGATCAACCTCTAATTTGCGCGGTGAATCTAAATCCAACTTGATTTTTCGCAAAATTCAGATGAGTCTAATTTTAAGTCATCTCATATATTTATGTTTCTTTTTTCCTGGCAAACTAAGGGAAAGAGGGGACTCGATCACGGACTCACCCATTCGAGAAGTTAGAAACTCTACCAACTAGACTACTGGATAATGTTTTTGAAAGCCTTGTGTTATGGATACCTCTTCATAATTATTAATGATGAGTTTGAAAAAAGAAAATTACACGTGGTGGCTTCTTCGAATTTTCTTTTTTTTAAAAAAAAAAAAAAAATCAAGTGATTTCAAAATGTTAAACGTTTTTTTTTTTTTTTTCCTTTCATTTTGGCTAACCAGAATAACTCCTGTGACCTCAGAATTACAAGGAAATGTCCTAAACTTCAAATTCTTACCAAGTGCTAGAGTTTCTTGCCAATAATAATAATAAATAATATAATAAAAAAAACATTTGCCTTGGTGACTTTGGTCTTAACTTTCAAGCAACATGTCAAGGTTGCAAAACGAATTTTTAAAAAAAATAAATAACTAACTAAAAAAAAAAGGTCAATCGCACAGACAACCCAAAACCATTTTTATATAAGCACTAAGCAGTTTACAAATAAAATCAGACAGCAGTGCAAAAACAAAAACAATCTACATCCATCAGAAATTGTAAATTGACAAGCAACAAAAGCGGGGAGTGCGCTATGTGCTTCACATAGGAGGGGGATGACAATTCTTGCTACTCACCTGTTAAAAAACTGCACATTTTTGGGGCAACAACTAGACTCCTATCTCTAGCGGTAAAAATTGCAAATCTTGTTGAACGTTACTGCTCATCCAGTGCCATGTGAGCTCAACCTACCATAAAATGTTCCAACAGCAGGGAGAAGTAAGTTTTTGAAAACCGCTGCTAGGGACCGGAGTGAAGAATTTGACAAGCACTTTCAGGCAAAACGGCGAAGAGATATTACCAAAGGCATCTCAGGTGAAAGGATAGAAGTTTGAGAAGAGCAAACTGCCTATAAGGATGTAGGCAGCACAGTATGCCCAAATCAGATGTCCCCATCTCTTGCCATTGCAAGGAAATACCACCAAGTATGACGCGTACCAATAGAGAGGAGGGCTGGCTGATAAGAAACGAGTCGAAACCTGTCAAATCCATCCAGTCTCATAAACTAGTGTATTTCAATGAAAACCAACTTCAAATTAATAAGTCCATTCAAATTTTACACACAAACTGCTTTACATAACATAATATATGGTGAACTGAAAGTCTGACCTGCACATGCATGACAAAAAATGCCGTGACTGCCATGAATCCCAAGTGCAGAACAAATGGAAGAAGAAGAATTGACGAGTGCTTGGGCTTATATGACAAATTATTTTCTAATGGAGAAGTAATAGGATCCGCTCCTTTGGTCGATTTTTTACGCCGTCTAAGAACTTGATCTTCTGCTACAAATCAAATAATCAAATGAGATTGTTCTGTGTATGTTGCAGCCAAACAAAATGGAAGAATTATGCATTTCAAAATATGAACAGCTTAAACTTGGAGTTAGTGTTCGTGACCACCAGGGTCCTGCGAGCCCTGATCCTCGCAAGAGAGTGCACCCTCACGGGGGAATGACCCTGCTAGAAATGTAGTTGGGGATGTTGGATGACATCCCATTTTTTTAAAAGATCAGCAAAACCAAAGTCCTTCCATGTCTTTGGTCCTAAATACAAATAACTAGGAAATAAGAATAATTGAAAAACACGTGACATTGATCCTAGTCACAATGTAAAGACCATAAATTACAAAACAACTCCATCCAGAGAAGTGCATTATTTGCTAATATAAACATCTACATTTGGGAACTAAGTTGCAAAATGGGAAGGGATCAGGCACCCCTTTTCTGCACAAAGCTGATCAGTGGATGTGCTCTTTTCATTTTTTCAGCTGATTAGTGGATGTGCTTAAGGGTAAGATAAGACAAGAGTTGATCGAGTTTCCTATGAGTGCTCAGTCTCACTTGTAGTATTACTTGTTGCGAGGGAGCAGGAGTACCTTTTAGGCAGTAATAGTATCAGTTATAAGTTACTTATGTCCTCCAATTCTTTAAAAGGAGTGTTAATGTGCATGTGTAAACAATGTGTAATGTTTATATATTATCTTTTTATGTTATTGCTAGATCTATATTTTGATACAAAAAGGAGGAATAGGCTTGACCACCAATGATTGAATGTTCTAGTTTGTTACGGAGCAACACTTGACTAAAAGAGAAGCATAATAACAGACTTTTAAGGGTCATTACCTAGTATTGTCCTTGTTAATCGAGGAACTGGAGTAATTACAGACTCCAAACTAATTTTTTATTTGCCTCCTAACCTTAAGTTTTAACCCTACTTATTAAGTAAAGCCAATAGCAAGGAAGCTAGAATGATCCCCTATCCTAGAAGATGAGGAGTTACAGGAAGTGGAGGGATTATAAGGTGGAACAACCCTCTCCTAGATATGTTGATGGAAGATGCCAATATAGACAAGGAAGATTTAGAGTGATCTTATTGCTAAGTTTGTTAGGTTGTTAACTTGTTATGTAAATTTTATTAAAAGGTCTTTCTGAATTTAAGTAATGAACCGTTGAGGACAAGTTATAGTTTTTGTGTATCACAATCACTTCTTTTATGGATAGTTATTAGTTATATATCATGTTATGTGGTTTTTGTTTATCACTTATGTGAGATAATATATCATCTCATCAACCATTTTAGTAGACCTAAAATGCCCTAAATATCTTCGAGTACATTTACACGTGATATATCTTTTCTGGAGCTTACTTTTTATGTGCTATTTTACCCTGCTTTTACTATTTTTTGATATATTAATATATGTTTAAAAATATAAAATTCAAAACTTAAAAAGCTTATGATCCAGTGCCTCATGTTTTCCACCTTGCCTTGTGCTTTCTCCATTTAAACAATGCTCCATAAGGAGTGTTCACCACTCCAGAAAAGAAGTCCAGTCATCCCTACAATCCCCAAATATTGTGATCCCTACCCTCCTTAAAGTTTATCATGCCAAGGCATAGCTTTCCTAAAGACATTTCATTGAATAACTAAGCCTTCCAATTCCCAAACCTTGCGTATGAATCAAAGAGAAACTTATGATTCCTTAGTTTTCATTTCTTTTTCCTTTTCTTCCATCTTTGAGGATAGTTTTCAGTTTTTTTTTTTCTTGTCCTTAATTTGATTTCCAAGATAATAAATAAAAAAATATTGAAAACTTGGAATAAAATAAAGGGTACAGAAAAAAAAAAAAAAAAAAAAACCCTGAACTATCGAGGAATCAGCAACTAACCCCTTGAACTACTAAAGTTGCAACTAACCCCCTAAACTATGCATTTTATTGCAGATAGCCCCATCTATTATTGTTCCGGTCAGATCTTGCCGGAACAGTGACTACATGACGGTCACATGACATACGCTATAATTTTAATGACCATAATACCCTTGTGAACTTGAAAAGACACTAATGCCAATTATTGTAACTATTAAACCCAAACACCTTTTAAACACCCCATCCACACCCTGATACCATGTGTATGGAAGAAGATGAACAGTGACAGAGGGCATAAGGCTGTGCTTGGGGGGACAAGCCTGTTATCCTTTAACCAAAAGTAAGTTTTTTTTTTTTTTTTTTTGAAGATTAAGGTTGGCGTTGTTGTCATTTTGACTGGGTTATGAAATTATCAACTGCCACGTCATCAATTAGGGGTATAACTCTCAAAACTAAGTAGTTTTAATTAAGGGTAAACTAATCTTTTAATATTTCCGACCAAGTCACCTACCAGAATGCAACATATCAATAGTTTAGGGGATTTCTTGTAACAAATTAATAGTTTTGGGTGGGGGGGTGTTGTAGTTCAAGGGGGTTTGTTGCAAAATGACAATAAATCAGGGGGGGTTTATTGCATTTTACCCTAAAATAAATGAAAACTTGGAATATTATAACAGATTTGGCTTGGGGGAGTCGATAGGGGAAGGGTGGTATACGATCAGAAAGTCAGTCATAAGATTCCAAGTTTTTCTCGGTAACTAATTGGTGTTTTACACTTTGTACTTCCTAGTGTTGCCTATCATCTCTAATAAACTATAAACAAAAAGGAAAGGATAGGCACTAGCTAACTCATGCACTCGACTGAAATAAAAATCACATAGGTTAGGTGTATGGGGAAAAACACATAATGTTATGTCGATACCTATCAACCACTTCAACATAGACCCTCCGAATTGCTCCAAAATTTAAAAAACTCACCTCTTTATAAAAATACCAAATCAAACAAAAAGGCCATGATCCTACATACCCATCAAATTTTCTCCCAAACCTGAAATTAGATATATCGCTGAAAATAAAAGTATCCCCAAGTATCTTCTATCAAACCAGAAGAGAAGATTTCTAACTGATACAACTTGGAAGCAACATTGCACAGAAAATCCGCCAGTTAAGCAAATTCAATGTGACTTTCATATCTATCAATTGATGTTTCCACAAAATCAATTTCTTAGATGGTATTCTTGTATGTAATCTCAAATCAAAAAAATTGAAATGATTGCACTGGAGAAAATAAAGGAAACATTATAGTAGGTGATAAAATAATGGGCAGCAGACTTGGATACTTCCAACATGAAAATGTCATTCATGATAGCATCATGGTACATGCGCTACTATAAGGAATAAATGACAAACTGAAAAGTACAGGATAAAAATAATCTAGTTCAACCAGTGCCCAAATTATTCTTTACAGCTCAGCCACTTGCAATGTGAAGAATTAAATCCATGCAAAAATGATGAACTAAGTGGTTCGATCAATGAAGAGTGTGATGATTGGTTACCCACCAAGCGCTTCAGTACAACATTATATTTTTGCCTTCCAGACAAACAGGGTGTATAAGTATCAACAGGTAAGTGAAAAGACAATTTGTGTTCAAAATTCATACCTCTCTGTATTTTGGAAGAAAGTTTTCTCGAAAAGTAAGTGCTGTTTGATCTTGCATCCACCCCCGAAGAAATAAGCACAGCAGAAGAGGTTTTATCCTCAGGAGAAGCTAGGAAACCAAGTGAGAAAAAAATTTCAGGCTGCAACTTCACATAATGGATGATTGAGCAAAGCGCTAAAGACAGTATGGGAGATGCGAGCAGGAAATTTGGCAACTGTTTTAGTTGGAAATATCTCAATAAACCCACTCCCCTGAAATAAAAAGAGACTATCAATATTTGAAAAACAAATCCACATCTTCTACACTTTCATTTTTTATAAAACAATCTAACTACTAGAAGAAAACATGATTTGTACATAAATCTAGTTCCCTTTTCCATCCATGAACAGTGAAAGTTAATAAAAAAAACTCAACAAGGTCAACAAAGCAAGTAATACTCGAATGTAGACCCAGAGTAATTATTCACGGGATATCAGACGTCACAATCTCCTACTAGTCTAAACCACCTAGATTGAACGAACATTTGCAAATACAATATCATATCTCTATCAGAACACAGTATTTATAATAGAAACGGATTGAAAAAGGAAATTAACTAATAAAAGAATTACCAATAACATACCAATAATGACTTTGAATATAGTTGTATAGTAAAGGAAGTCTTGCCTTGCACCAAGCCCTCAGTTCATCTGGAAAATGTCCAAGACACATATTGTAGTATCCATATGCTTGAAAAGCAATAAACGGAACAAAAGTACACAGACAACGCAAAGCTCCAGCAGTAATAACCTTGACTGCCAACTGCCAAAGGATATTAATAAGAAGAAGAAGAAGAAGAAGAATACCATATCTAAAATTTTAAAGGATGCATGCGTTGGCAATGGTGAAAACTTGACATTGCAAAATATTCTTCAAATTGTAGAAGTTTTAAGATGATTTTGACTAAGACTGGATATATAGATGTAGTTCTAATAGAACCAGAGAGAGAGAGAGACAAGGAGTAAATGTTTTGTCTCCAGACTTGGTATTCCATAAGAAAGAAGAAGATGGACGAAGCGGATAAGTGCCACCAGAATATTTTTATGGTCAGCATATAACTCTGAATTCAAGACCAAAGTCGTAAGGTAGCTACAAAACCAGCTAGTAGTTCATTCAAGTAACATGTTCGATGCTGAAATGAAAATTGTTGAGGAAGAAATCAAATGCATTTTAGAGAAGGAAAAGGAAGCAATAGGACAACACAAGAAAAGTTAGTTTATATTAGTTATACCAATGTATGCACAACTGAAGAGTGATATGGTTAGGTGGAAAGGTTCTCAAGGGTGAGGAGAATAATGATAAGGATGTTGGTTAAAGAGCAAAAGGACATGTTGACCAATGGCAGGTTTAACCAATAATTTTTTTTTTTTTTTATAAGAGGTTTAACCAATAATATGGCACTAAAGAGAGCATAAAATAAAAGGGGATTCATGTAGCAAACCCGTATTGTTGATCCAGTGCCCAGTACAATCGAACAATACAGTTTCTTTCATATAAGTGAATTGAATAATACAATTAACTTCAGAAAGTTCAGTACTTATATACCTATTATGCAATTACTGTGTATGATGGATCTGTCCAATCTCCCTAATAATTTGACATATTTTCCTTGTCTAACAGGACAATAAAACAAAGTCAACCAAAAAGAATAAAAAGAAAAAGAAAGAAAGAATAAATTGAAGAGGAATAGAGATCATGTGATTGAGATCACAGTAACTTTGCATCTCTAGCTGTCTATCATAATTAGAGTTTGTATCTGGCACTAAAGACTAAAGAGTGGCTTCAGTCTAATTTACACAAAAAGACTAAGAGTGAGACGGTTATACCCAGAATGGTCCCATTAATTGAACGTGCTGGGAAAGAGAGACAACGAAACCTTTGGCATTATTTGCATTTTGAACAACCTGATTGCTATTAGGATTTGGATACACGTTCTCACACTTGATAGCCCGAGCATTTACCAGTGCGCCAAGCAATGGCACTTAATTTACATAAAAAGACTAAATATTCACAACTTTTTTTTAAGAAAATAAGGGGAAATAATTTTCACACTTCACTTTTGTATATTTGCATTCCATGTACTTTAAAAAAAAAATGATATAATTAGCCTTGAAAACACTCTCACATAGCACAGTAATCACAAAAGTATTCCCACACTCCACTTTTGAGGGTAGTAATATCATTTCATTTATTTAAAAAATAAATAAAGAAATAAAAAAGTGATTTGTAAGGGTAGAAAAGTTGAGTGTGAATTTTACATCGCTTAAGAAAATAAAATTTCTAAAAACTTGTAGTATTCAATTAATTATCTTCTATCAATGGGCTCTAGCCTCCTAATAGATTTATTGGAGAATGTAATTATAGGAGTTTTTTTTTTTTTTTTTGATAAGTAAAGATTGTATAAAAAGCGTTCAAACAGGGACTGCATCCTTCGTTATAAGAGCTATTTTAGCCCTTGATTGAATATTGATAGGAGTGATTAAGCCTTTGATAGAATATTAATTGGAGTGATTCACAAGATTGATTTTAAAAAATCTTTCTATCAATATAAATTTTATATTTATCACATGTTTGTATTCTTTTAACTATAAATAGAAGTGATCATTGTAAACAAAATTAAGAGAGAATAAAATGAAAGAAATGTAGCCCCTTGGGCTTTGTGTGCCGCGGATGTAGGCTGCAGTAGCCAAACCATGTTATATACTCTCTTCAATCTTTTGTTTTTCAACAAGATTCTTCTACAATTACTATAATATACTATCATGTATAACTTACTACATGTAATTAATTATTACTACTTCCTCTGTCCCATATTAGATGTACCTTTTGGGGAGTAGAATTACTAAGTTTTCCTTTTAAGTTTGAATATATATATATATATAATCAAGTTTGAAATTTTTTAAAACTTCCAGGGTATTTTAGGGAAAGATATGAAATGTGATCATCTCGGATTCCCAGAATGCCTTTGTTAGCGGTAGGCAAATTCTTGATTCAGTTCTTATTGCTAGAGAATGTGTAGATTCCAGATTGCGGAGTGGTATTCCTGGAGTTTTATGCAAACTTGATATTGAGAAAGCATATGATCATGTGAAATGGAATTTCCTACTCTATTTGTTACAAAGAATGGGGTTTGGAAGTAAATGGAGGAAGTAGATTGAGACTTGTCTTTCGTCTATCAAGTTTTCAGTTCTTGTGAATGGTTCTCCCGCTAGTTTCTTTGGTTGCTCTCAGGGTATAAGACAAGGTGACCCTTTGTAATCTTTCCTTTTTCTTGCTGTTATGGAAGGCTTAAGCAGACTTATGCGAAGGGCAGAAGACCTTGGTTTTATAAAAGGTTTCAAGGTGGGCAGAGATTTAGACCATTAGATGGAGATTTCTCATTTACTCTTTGCTAATGAGTTCTTTCCCTATTCCTTATTTGGGCTTACCCCTAGGGGTTTCTGCGAGGTTAGTGGGGAGTTGGGATTTCGTGATTGATAGGTATGCGAAGAGATTGGCAGGTTGGAAGAAGCAATACTTGTCAAAGGGGGGTAAAGTTACTCTTATCAAAAGCACGTTATCGAGCCTTCCCACTTATTTGCTTTCTATGTTCCAAATTCCTTGTTCCGTTGCAGATAGGATTGAAAAAATTCAACGGGATTTCCTATGGGGAGGAAAGGGCAATGAATTCAAGTACCACCTTGTCAAATGGGAGGATGTTTGTAAGCCTGTGAAATTGGGTGGACTTGGAATAAGACGTTTAGTTCCTTTCAATCAAGCTCTCTTGGGTAAATGGTTATGGAGATACGGGAGGGAAAGACATCGTCCATGGCGCAGGCTAGTATCTTGTCGGTTTGGGGACAAGGCTGGAGGTTGGTCTACGCGTCCAGTTACCCTCGCGGGAGGAGTCGGGATGTGGAAAGCTATTCGGAAGGGATGGGATGCTTTTTCTGCCCATATTAGATTTAAACTCCGTGATGGTCGTCGTATTCGGTTTTGGGATGATCTTTGGTGTGGGGATCAGCCACTTTCTCGTACATTTCCTAGATTATTCAGTATTGCTGTTGATAAACACGCCTACGTAGTTGATTGTTATCGGCTTGATAGCAGTGGGATTACGTGGGATGTGCATTTTCGGCGCTCTCTTCAGGACTGGGAGATGGACGAGGTATGTGTTTTTCTGGATCTCTTGTATCGGCAGGAGGGCTTTGGTAGAGATAATGATGTTTTGATTTGGGTTCCTTCTTCCCACGGTCGTTTTGAAGTTAGATCATTGTTCTTATGTTTGTCTAATTTTGTTAATCGAGAATTCCCATGGAAAACCATTTGGCGGTCTATGGCTCCAACTAGAGTGGCTTTCTTTGTTTGGACTGCTATGAGGGAAAAGATTTTGACAGTTGATAACTTGGGAAAAAGGGGTAATTATATTGTTTATCGGTGTTGTCTATGCAAGAATACTGAAGAGTCCGTTGATCACCTCCTTTTGCATTGCCCTCTAGCGACCGATTGTTGGAATCTTATTGTTGGGTTGTTTGGCATGTGTTGGGTTATGCCACAATCTACTAAGGAATTAATTCATGTTTGGAGAGGATGTCGGGTGAGAAGAGATGTCCGCGATTTCTGAAGAATTGTACCTCATTGTGTATGGTGGTGCATCTGGAAGGAGAGAAATTGCAGAATGTTCGAAGGGAAAGAGTCGCCTACGGCAATGGTCAAACTTTACATTCTTCGCTCTCTTTTCAATTATGTGAAGAGAAGTTTTTGTTCTTCTTCGGAAGATTTAATTACTTTCTTGGATTCGTTGGGGCCTTAGTCCTGGTCCCACTCTTGTAATTGGGACATGTTCCCCTTTTGAACGCCTTTTCTTATATTATTTTTACTTATCAAAAAAAAAACTTTTCAAGTGGACAAGTACTTTGGGACAACCCAAAAAGGAAGGATGGACAACTGAATTGGGACGGAGGGAGTATTAGATAGGAAACAATTACATCTAAATTCTCAAAAGTATCAATAATTAGTTTGTGCCAAAATACATACATATCTCTATATCCCCGCAAAATCCCCATCTTCTCGCCATCTGATTGCATGCATCTTACTTATTGGAAATAATATCGCTTCCTCGAATTTTAAATGCCTCCTCAAAATCGAATATACTAGTTCCATGTGAATGTAGATGTAGAATAAATTATCAAGCAGGGAAAGTGATTTCTTTCAATAAAGCAAAAATAATGATTTCTACTTGTAAAAAATATATATAATGATTTCTAATGTAAAATGGTAAAGTATCTCAGATAACATCAATTGCCCCAACTTATACATTTAATGGGAGTAAAAGGCAAACTAAGGGAAGAGGGGATGCTACTGGATACCAACCACGTGGAACTCTCAGTTTGTAAGTGGCCAGATTCAGTTCCATATCATAACCATCATGTACATCTCAGCCTCCATGCATATTGTGCAGGCCACACTCTAGGTTTTTAGAAATGAGATTAAGCATTTGCAGATTATTGCTGAGATGAATAGCAACACTTCTTTGGCTTCGAAATGGATAGTTTCCAGTTAAACACATAGTATACTAAATTGTAAGCTTGTAATTAAAACATTTTTTTGATAAGTAAGTTTGTAATTAAAACGTTGTTAGCTGAATAAAATAAAAACTTACAAAAGCATGCTTTCGGAGGAAGATAGCATCATAAGCCTGATGCATAGTCTGAAAACAAATATATCCCGCATTAAGCACCCCATTTGACCTTGCAGATCCAGAGAGAGCAAGCAAAAGAGTTGCAAAATTAATTTTACCAGACATTAGATAATATAATCCTCCAATAGATAACAGGGAATACAGACTCTCAGAATATCTGCATATTCAAAAAAGAATTTCATATTCAGTATTACCATTTTTCAATTCAACAAAAATGCAATGAGAGAGGTGTAAAGAATACATTGATGAGTAGAATATTGAAGCTGGATTGAAGCAAAATAAAATTGATGCTCGCAAGGCTGAATCTGGGTCCTTCAAAATAATAAGCGATAGCCTGTAAAAGAGAGAGAGTCAGAAACAAGAAGTTAGAAATTCCAAGCATGTGAACATATATACATGGAGGAACTAGGAATTTATTCTAGTGGGAGCTGATTTAGAACAAAGTAAAATAAACTAAAATTCTTTAAAAATTATGATGGGGAAATGATATTCTCACTCCACAAAAGTACTCTTGCACTACTACATTTTAGAAAGAAACAATTGTCCTTCAAAACTACTCTCGTAGATACTGTTGTTAAGCTCCACTTTTAAGAGGTAATTGTGTCATTTATTTTATGAGAAAATAAAATGAAGTGTGATATCACATTCCTTTCGAGGGAACTAATATATATATATATATATATATATATAGAAGCAACTTTATATTTATAGTAATATATGAATATAAAATTTAGAAAAAAAAAAAAAATGACTAGGAGCAGCTGCCCCCACTGGGCATAAGGTGGCTCCACCACCATAAACAAACACACATATACATGAACATGTAAAAGTATATCCTCCATGAGTTTATGATTTTGCTATACATATTTATAAAACAAGTAGTTACCTCATGAAATTTTCAGCCTTGATAATATTTAATTGATTTTAGATTGCAATCAAATTATTGTTAAACAACCTTTCAAAAAAATTTATTGTTAAACAAGGTCTAACATAATAGTAAGCCTTTGTTGAGTTAAATACTTTATGCATTCATCATAGGGTCCCCGTATCTGAATTTTCTCCTAAATTTGCAGTATTATTGCATCGTAAGCCATTCTACTTCACTATTGAGTGAAACAATAACTCAGTCTTTAATTTTACAGACCTCCCAACAAAGTTCGTGTGTATACATAAACACACACATATATATGAAAACAATTATCAAGACACTTACCTGTAAAGACAAAGAGCAGCAAAAACAAACGCAGTGTTATTGAGTACATAGCCAGATAATCCCAGCACAGCTCTATGTCCAATAAGTGGAATCAATGGCTCAAAAACTGGAACAAAAATCATAATTTTTTACAAAACCCACCAATTAATACCAAATTAACAACAAAATATTAAGTCTTGATAGCTAAAAGAAGTGAATTAACCAACCTGTTCGAGACAACAAAGAAATGCAAATGGGAAGAAGAGGCAAGAACGCGTAGGACTGTTCGTATTCATATCCACATTGCGCGATGCGTACGAAGTACACACTGTCCCATACGATACTGTCCTCGATTGAGGAGGCGATGTGAGGGAGGCGAATGGGGTGGTTGGTGGTGGTGTTGGAAAATAGGCAATTAGGGTTTACGGATGCGGAGGTGTCGTAGGGGCTAAAGAGAGACCTCCATAGGATGATTAGGGTTATGAGGATGAGTCTCGACGCGATTGCTGATCGAAGAACGATGCTAGTGTGGTGGGTTTGGACAGGGTTGTAAATGAAGGACTTGATCGCCATTGATTTGCTCTGTACATAGAGAGAATTTAAGAAAGAGAGAAATGTTGCCAATGAAGGGTCTGTTTGTTTCATAAAAATGTGAGGATAGGAAAGGAATGCCATTTGCATTTTCTAACCCTTATAGAAGTGGACCGAAAGGAAAGAAATAATAAGTGTAATAACTATGTGTTTTTTTAATATTTTTTATAATAAGTATATTTCAAAATGCCTTTATCGCTTATAAAATAGAATAATTTGTCCTTCATTTTCTCGCAATTGTAATAATGACTCTAGTATAAAAATAAAAAAATATAATTAGTATGTTATTCATTCCTTTCTCTTTCTATCTTTATAATAATGTTATTATTTCTTGAGTAAAAAATACTTAATATTATTTCTCTTTTCTTTTTCTTTTTTTTTTAATCAACCAATTGAATCAGATGAAAGATGAAACTATTCATTCCTTTCTCTTTTTTGTTTTTGTACTAATGTTATTATTTTTTTTCCTTTTACTTCTATTATTTAAAAATAATTTGAATAAATTACGCTGACATCTTTCTTGTGGTTTTCCCCTATTACACATAATTATATTTGGACGCTTGTGAACGAATCGGTCAAATTGTCGTCAGATTTGGTAAAATTAACAATGACATCCTTACAATCACCTGCTTATATTGACTTTATTACCTGACTTGTAAATTAACCTATTGGAATCATAAAATTACTATTTTAAGCTTTCTAGGTCATTTAAATGGACGAAACTAATCTCCCCGTCTCTACATGCCTGTCTTCTTTCATTTCACCACCTTACAAAATTGAGAAAGTATTGTTGGAAATTTTTATATATAAATAATAAAAATTATTTTATGGTCCTATGCACAAAGTTTTCTAAAATAGAATTGCAATGTGTTTATTGATACTCGATGGATTGGGTTGTATTTTCCAATTAGGTGGTCTAATTGGGAGTGATGAGCGCTGAAAAGTGCGTATTTAAGCCCCTTAAACTTAGACATTCTAACACCTTTATCTATCTTACTTTACCGTTTTAAATTAATTTCGTATTATTTCCATTTTCAGGCACTTATCCCGAAAATAAGCTAACTCAGCCAAATAAGAGTTTAATTGAAACAATTCTGGGATTAAACAAAGAAAGGAGCAAAGTGGAGAAAGAAGAAAGCAAATGAAGCCAAATGTGGGAAGCAGCAAAGTTCGATCGATCTAACTTCAAGGTTCGATCGATCGAACAATGATTGATCTCAGCACTTCAAGATAGATCCAAGCCTTGGCCCAAGAGCATAAAGTTCAAAAGTTCGATCGATCCAACACCACCGTTCGATCGATCGAACACTTTTGTCCTTATTCAAATGATTGATCTTATCCACAGCTGTACCACCCACTAACCACTTTTATCCTTTTCCCAAAAATATCTCCCAAAATATCTCGGATTTGTCTTTTCCCAAAAAGCTCAACCAGTTAGATTGATCTAGCCTAAGTTCGATGGATCTCAGCCAGTTCGATCAATCCAAGTCCAAGGTTCGATCGATCGAACTTCCTCCAGTGCAAAAAAGTTAAATTTCCATCTCATTAAAAGTTGTCATTTATCTAATCATTAGGGAATATTGTGTGCACGACCCCAGCTCATTTTGGGTGTCATGTGACCTACCTATATAAGGATAAGGATTGCTTTTTACAAAGGGGAGCCAATATCATTTTCATATCGTCTCTTGGAGAGCAAGCTTAGAGGAGGAGGCTAGAGACACCATTGGAGTTCTTTATCAACAAGGAGCAGATTTCAACCATGGAGTTAGCCCTCGAGGGTTGGAGCAACATCACCATGAGTGGCTAGACATCCTCTTGGGGCTAGAGTTAGCCCCAAGTATGCTTTCTATATCTTAATCTTATGTATTATTGAGGATGTGGGAATGAAGGATAAACCACTTAGGGTTTACAGGTTGAGCAATGAATGTTTCTTAACAATTATGTAAACTATCAGTGGATGCGAGTGATTAAAATAGCTTGTGTCGTTTTAAATAATTTTTTCGAGAATGATTATCCAATTTTAATCATGTAACAATTGTGTAAAATGAGCATATTAAAGTTTATCTTATTTTAATTACGCTTATTAATATTAATTGATGACTAAATCTTAGTACTTGTGCATCAATTACTGGACTGGATGTATAAGCATGATAAGTTGTCTTGGTGTATTGTGTTTGCCATTAAATTAATTGAGGTGCCATGTTCCAGTGGTAAAATATAGGCATGTCAGATTACAGAATTGTTATATGCTTATAAAGGATAAATGGAGGTATACATATGTTAAATGTCATATCAATTCTTGGATAATTGTGTAGCGGTATAAAGCAAGCATGTTCAAACATATGTTTAGATTATGCTTATCATGGATTAAAGGATGTTTATACTTGTTCACTGTGCTATAAGTTATGAGAGAATCATGTAACAGTGGTATAAGACAAACATGTTAGTTTACGAAATTCTGTTATGCCTTGTATGAAATTAATGAATGTAAACATTTATTTATGTTTTGTCGGTTTATGTTGTGGATTAGTTGGCATTTATATTCATTATGTGTATTATCAACTATTGGATGGATGGATTGTATGCACCGGTATGGGACGGTGACATACTAGGGACGGATTAGTTTCAAAATACTACATCCTACCTATACGGAATAAGGGAATGGATTATGAAATCAATCCAACTTATAATTAAGTCAAAGAAGCTGCACAAACTGAATAACTAAATGGATTACTTGTTATCCAAGTTAAGTCAAAGAAGCTAAACAAGCTGAATGACTAACTGGACTGATTTGAATGGATATGAGAGGACTTTAAATATATTTTTATAATACCGCGATATGAGCTTGAGTCTCATAGTCTTCGGTTAGGGAGCGTATATGCAGTAGGATGTGTAACTGGATATGAGAGGTTGAGGTGTACCCTGTTAGGTCTAGGTACTCATGCCCACCTATGGGTGCGTTTTCGCATGTTACCTTCTATTCAGGTTGAGACCCTCTCCATAGTCCAGTGAGAGTCCTGTAGTGTGAATATACATATGTACCGACTATTAGCTATTGTTGAGTTGGTTAGAATGTATATGTGTATCGAGTCTCTACTTGGATAGTAGTAGGATAAAACTTGTTTGTGGGCCTGACATTTTAGGTGTTCAACCGGTCCAGTCGTAGGCTTGATCGTGCTGAGCAGAGACCATCACTCACTCTTCGGACGACGTAGGACTTCTCTCCATGGTTTACTATGGATATTCTTTTAGTAGTTTTCTTTTCAGTTTGGACTATTATTAGGGGTCCACTAGAGATGGATTCCCGAGTTGTATTCATGGAGGTTTCGGAAGTTGGATTTATTTAATTTTTATCAGTTGAGGATTTTATATTGGGATTCGTTTTAGCTTTATTATTTTACCTTCTTAAATCTATTTTGTAATCTGTGTTCGTTTTAAAATATTAATTGTTTGATATTCCCTCAAGTTTGGCCTGGCCTGATCAACTCGTGTCTCGGATGCTGCCACTCTGAATTGGTTGTGAACAACTTCTAATATTCGTATTTGGTTGAGAAATACCACCCATGCCACTCACAGTTGGTTGAGAAGCACCACCCATGCCACTGATATATGGTTGAGAAGCACCACCCATGCCACTGACATATGGTTGAGAACCACCACCCATGCCACTCATATTTGGTTGAGAACCACCACCCATGCCACTAACATTTGGTTGAGAAACTCCTCTTGCACGTACATTTCTTCCACCTCTGCTCGCAGTTTGGGACTGGAAAAAATTTAAACAAAAAAAAAATAGTTAAGTACAGTATTGGGTAATCATAGAATTGAAAAATTGTTATAGTGAACATAAGTAAAGATTTATACTTGTTGTGTAACACCAAAAGTTCTTGTTCCTTCTGATCCTTGAGTTTGAGACCTTATATTTTCTCTAAATTAACAACTAGAAGGTATATAAATCAGTAATAAAATAAAATTTTCAGAACATAGCAAGTTTAAAATTGACTGAAACATTCACTATTGCTGTTTGAGCTCTTCCTCTTGCACTTCCAACCCTCTCTCTTGCTGCTACAACTCTTTCTCTTGCTGTTTGAGCTCTTTGGCAAGTTATGATACCCCTCGGGTCCGAGATACGGGTTGATCAGGTCCGAGCCCAAACCCAAGGGATATCAAACAATTAAAGTATTTTAAATCGAACACAGAATACAAAGTGAATAACAAATAAAAGTTAAAAACTGAAAGAATACTAAATTAAAAAGAAATCCTCAACTTAAACTAATTAAAAACCAACTTATTCAAACTTCTCCAATCTATACAACTCGGGAATCCATCTCTAGTGGACCTCTACTGAAACTCCAAACTGAGATGAAATTAAAAACTGAAGATAAAATCCAAATCGAACATTTGGAAAGAAATCCTACATCATCGGTAGAGTGGAAGTCTGTATCTGCTCTGCTCATCCAAGCTTTAACCCTGGAACTGATGAACACCTGAAAAATAAAGGAGTGAGTCAGGCCCACATGCAAGTCCTATTCTACTACGATCCAAGCAGTAATTCGATACGCAGATATATCCTAGGAAGACTCAACAATATCTAGAGTAGTCCATAGATGTATATATAGTACACACTATAGGACGCTCACTAGTCTAGTAGGTCTGTCTCAGCCTGAATAGAAGGCAACACGCAAATCCGCACCCAAGTGTGGGCATGAGTACCCAGACCTACCAGGGAACAACACCTATGTCCAGTTATCCATCTTAGGCGATATATGCGCCCTAACCGTGGTCATGAGACTCAAGCTCATACCACAGCACCATATAATATATATATAAAGTCCGTACTCCTCCTAATACAAAATACCATCCATCTGTGTAATGGTCTGATATATGTATAACAAATCCATCCTGAAACCATAGTAGGTCATTCAATTCACAATTGATATGACACATGTAGGTGATGGACTTAACCTTTATGATTAATCCATACCTTAATCCAAGTTAGGTAGAACTTAGTGTTTGAACTAGTCCATACCTAGTATGTCACCGTCCCATACCTATACATACAATCCTCCAGTGAATACAGTTGACAAAA